GGTCCAGTGGCTGCTGCCTTGCCACTGTTAGGGCCCTGGGTTGGGACGCAGTGGAGTAGGAAGGGCCCGTGTGCCCCCCGCTACCAATTCCTCAGGGTGGCAGGTTACCCCCTGTGCAGAATGAGGAGACCCGACCGCCTGTACGGCTGGGATCCAACCAGAGCTTTGACAGACACTTGTCGCCTTGACCCAGGACTGCGCCTTTAACTGTGAACTGGTGACTATTTTTATTAATCCCGTGTCTGTCCGCCCGCCCTGACCCCGGACGGAGCCTCACAAACTATCATTCAGCTGAGGCATGCCTCATGGACTTGTGGGTACTTTAGAGAGTCAGCGGTGCCCCACTCGCTGACGTAGGACCCTTTTACAGTATTATATATTTATTTTTATATATCTATCTATAGAAAGATAGGTAGATATAGTACACAAATATAGTGATAAAAACATTACAGAACATTTCGTACAAAAACCAATAAAAAAGTCTCTAGTCACTTAAAAAATTCACGGCCAGTCCATAGACTGTCAGAGAACTTGACAAAGAACAAACATCAAATTAAAATAGAAAAAAACCTTTAAAAATACAGTAATATTCGCTCGTGAAAAAAAAAAGCATCTCCACCATATATTTTAAATTTAACACTACTACCCTATTATGTCCTGTGAGTTTTTTTAAAAATTAAACTGAATTGGGAGTTAAATTAGCACAATTTGAAGTGTCTGTTTCACTCCAGCTTGTTGATCTCTGGTTCACATGGTTTCCACATTTTTTTTTACTTATGAAGATTATGGCTTTTTTATAGTTCTAAAAAATCAGGTCGGTCCCAGACTGCAAATATGAGAGGTTTAAAAACAATAAGGGAGAGACTTGTATGTCAGAATAATTGCTTCAGCCTGGCAAACAGCAGCTTTTGAATTTTCTTTAAAGAAACCCAGTGTAAACCAGGTACATGCCGATTCTTTTTTTGCCCTGGAATTTAAATATGACATCTGTGTTGTCTGCCTTATTCTGCATACATGAAGACTTGGAGTTTAAGGTGCTTCAGCCTCCCACTCTAACCCAATGCCCCACACCTCCCCCAGAGCCAGGCACAGCCCCCCCTTTCCCCCAACCTAATGCCTGGGTCCCGGAGCTGCTGCCGCCATGTGCTTCTCCCTCCAGGTGCTGGGGCGCATGCATAGAGCGGCTGGCTGGGAGCAGGCGCTGGGATGCGAGCACAGAGTGGTGGGCCATGAGTAGTCTGGGCGCGCAGCTCAGAACCAGCAGGAGCTGCATTTCTTTAATCAAAGAGCCGCATATAGCTCGAGAGACGCGGGTTGGCCACCCCTGATCTAGTTCCACCACCTCCATCTTGGTCTGTAAGATGGGTTATCAGGGACAGAGACTGGGCTCTTGTAGAAGACTCTGGAACAGGCTGGAGGCCTGTTTAGCCCAGAAGTAGGTTACCAGGAGAACCAGAGTATGAAACCAGAGTGTGGGCTTTTGAATTGGGAGCAGTAGATCCAGACATTGGAACATAGCTTAAACCATCTAAGAACTGAAAATGGAGCAACCAGTGCCAGGATCATCACCAGCACCAGATCCAGGGCTTGCAATCCCATCAGTGTCAGAGGAGCCAATGCCTACACACCATGCAGCTGAAGCGGAGCCCACAACATCAGCAGAAGCAGCAGTAGAGGGCCCCATAAAGCCTGCACCTGCAGCAACAGCTGAACCTGTGCAAGAGGCTCCGCCAGAGCTTGTAACACAACCCAACACAGCAGCAAAGAGATGTACAACAAACACCAATCTAAAGAAAATAACCTAATTGCAGTTTCAAGACTTAGTCCATCCCTAGGCATGGATGTATGTCCTGAGTTCTCCATGTCTGGCTCCCTGACTCCTTCCAGGGGCCCTGCCCTAGCACATAGGAACAGGAAGGGCTGCTGCTTCCAATTCAAAAGCCCATAGTCTGTTTTCATTGGCTCTCCCGACTTCCTGCCAACTCACTTCCTGGTTCCCTAAGCATTCCTGGGTATCTTAGGACTCATTGTCTGTGGTTTTAAAGTTTCAGAGGGGTAGCCGTTTTAGTCTGTAACTGGAAAACATAAAAAACAACAAATAGTCTTGCAGCACCGTAGAGGCTCACAAAAAATGTAGATGGTATCACGAGCTTTTGTGGGCACAACCCACTTCTTCACATGAATGGAGTACGTCTATGGTTTGAACCTTTACAGGCAAAACAGGGTTAGATCTAAAGAGTGAATACTACTTTAGCTAATTGAATGGCTGGTCCTCAAATTGTTGCCCATGGCCAGTTTGAAGTGTGGCAGGAAGTTCTGGTCATCCACCTCCCGTCAATCAAGGAGAAAGCCAGATTGCAGTCCATCATCTCAAGTCTGGAAAGAACCAATGATTTCAGTTATTTACACCTGAAATTTCATGATGTTGTAATTTGGGTCCTTACCTAAAAAGGCGTAGGGTGTGTGTGTGTGTGTGTGTGTGTGTGTGTGTGTGTGTGTGTGTGTAAGGGAGTCATACGCCTATTGTAGGGGGGTTGCAGTACTGCTACCCTTACTTCTGCATGTGACAGTACTGACTTGAGACCTGGGCATCTGGAAAGAAGTGGCTGCTGGCCAGGAGCCCAGCTCTGAAAGCAGAGCAGCCAGCAGCAGTGTAGAAAAAAGGATGACATGGAATGTTATTGCCACCCTTACTTCTGTGCTGCTGCCAGCATAGCTGGGCCCTTGATCACCAGCCACCATTCTCCAGCTGCCCAGTTCTGAAAGCAGCAGCACAGAGGTAAGGGTGGCATGATATGGTATTACCACCCTTACTTCTGTGATGCTGCTGTCAGAGCACTGCCTTCAGCACTGCGAAACTGGCCAAAAGCCACCTCTCTCTTGCCACCAAATTTTAAAGGTAGATGTCTGCAACAGCACACAAGTAAGAGTAGCACTATCATGACCCTTCCTAAAATAACTTTGTGACTATCATGCAACTCCCTTTTGGGTCAAGACAACCAGTTTGAGAAATGCTGGTCTTCCACATTAATTCTTTATAGTATAGAGTAGAAGCACATACACACACATACGGATTTCCACAGCGGGAGACAAGATTTCACAGTCTGTAATACAGGGTGGGCAATAACTTTTGATGGGAGGCTACACCAAGAATTTGGAAAGTGGTTGAGGGCCACACTCTTCCATGATATGAATGGAGGAGGTGTGGGGTCTGAGATAGAGGTTGGGTGAAGGAGGTGGTTGTGACCTGGGGTACTGAACTCGGGTTAAGGGGGTTGGATTGTGACCTAGGGCAGGGAATTGGGTACAGGAGGGGGTGCAGGTGATTGAGGTGATGAGAAGATGGTTGAATTTAATATGCTCTGTGCAGCATTTTTAATAAACTTCCATCAGGCCTTTGATTCAGTTCATGAAGCAAGCTTGTGGCATCTGACCAGGCTACTTAGTGTCCCTGGGTTGATAGAAGAGCTCTATAATGGAACAAACACCTGTGTTTTAATTAATGATAGATACATGACATCATTTTCTGTTTCCATGGGAATTTAGTCAAGCTGCATCAGAATGTTCAGCCAAACCATTTTGAGGACCTAATTAAATATTGAGGCTCTCTCCAGGAAGGTTATGTCCCTTTGGGATTTGCCTTGATTGGGATTTAATACCAGTTAATTGATTGATTGCCATTTTATTCAAGGTCACTAACACATTTATAAATGTTAGTCCAGATGCTCCACAAACATGTGTATAGTAGCCTAAATCACAATGGTTTGTGTCTTAGAAGATTCATGCAGAGTATCAAGACTAGTTTTTGCAGATGTGTTAGTTAATTGATTGCTGAGTAAATTTTCATTAAACAGGGCCACCAATTTTACCCTAGACATAGCCTAAGGGCTTGGTTTTCTAATTCCCTGCACATTGAGGAGTCAATTATATTATTGCCAAGTGGATGTAGAATGCTGCTAGTTCAAAATAGTACTGATTTATACCCATTTTGCCCTGCTATAATAACTGCAAATATGCAGAACAATAGAGAATTAGGCACTAACTATTCATTAGGAGGTTGCCAACATGCATTATTAAACAAACTAAAATTTAAGGAAAACGATAGTAACCAAATATAATACATAACACTAGAAATTGGATTTTGTTCTGAGCTTTTTTGCAGCAGTAGTTAATGTTTTATACAAGAACATGAGCTAAGGCAATCTTCCCATTCTGCAGAATTTCCCCATAACAGTAGTGTTCCCATCAAATGCTCCTTTAAAGCACAAAATGTCCTTAAGTATAATTAAGATCTGTTGGTTGAAGAATTTTTCTTTAAAAATTTAAGCTAATTAGACCGAAGAAGGTCACAATCAAAAACATTTCTAAATGATTGAAGTCAAATAGTCAGTTGACCCAAAATGAAAAAAAGGGGGGCTTCTATGTATATTTTTGAGATTTCAATTTTTCATACTGATTTGAAGTGAAAATAGTCTGACAGGAAAACTGTTTTCTGTCCACCCACTCCACTTCTCAGCAAGAGGGATTACAGATTGCAACCTACATAAAAAGTGCATTTCATAACCCTATATTATTGTAGCTTGTATTCAGAGAAATTGCACAAGCAGGTAGGTGTAATGCTCTTCAGTGTTTTGAAATAAAGTAGCTCATAGCAAGAATTACCATATTGTGCTGATTATAGCAGGCAGGGAAAGACTCTGCTTATGTAACAGATTTTAATGTAATTATTTGTAATACTAGCTACACCTATGTTTCAATAAGTCTGGCAATATGTAAGCAGTTTTTCATAACTGGAAATTCTACATTTGGACAACCTGCTGCTCCCCTCCAGACAAGCCAGAAAGACAATACAGGAATCACAGTTGTAGCTGATTTGTCAAGTAACCAGTAGTTCTGTTCTTTTACAGAGTAACAAACCCTGATGAATTTCAAATCTTTGCATAAGTGATAGAATTCTCTTCAAGTTCTGGGCCACCACTGAAAAAAATTAATAACCCACCCTGACTGTAGGAAAGGTCGCATAATTATCTGGAATGGTCACAAGTCATTTGCTAGCTTTCTGCTCCTCCCTGATGCCAAGTGAATGAACAGGCCCAAGTGAAAAAACTGCCCAACTGTGTAGGTAGGGTATATTCTGAAGAAGTTGGCCTCTGATTTAGATTTTAAGTCCTTGTTTCCAGAGACTATGTCTGTAACAGTTAGAATAATTCATCATGAAGCTGTTGAACCAGGTAATTCAGACATCATCTTGACCTTATCCTTTGAACTCCTGATCATTACAGCAGTGATTCAAGCAGTAAAGACAGATGCACAGGTTACGTTGTTCAAGTAATTGATTTTTTTTTAATTTGGTGGCTGAACTAAAAAATAATTTAAAAATATTGTTTCTGTTCAACCAAAACATTTAGTAGATCCTAAATGAAATTTTTTGTTTCCTTTTTGGGTTTTCTTCACCCTTTTAGAAAAACTTAAATTGAAGTAAAATTCAAAGCAAAAAAATGCTCGCGGTCAAAAAATGGAAATATTTCATCTTCAAAACATCAATGCAAAATACTACATTTTTCTCTTTGACTGAACCAATTCAGTGAATTCAATATAAATTAACAAAATACTTCAGTTGACCCTAATATGCATTTTTTTCCGATGGGAAAAAAGTTTGGGATGAAGAATTTGCCCAGCTCCAATTTTCAGTCAACACAAGCCATCAAATTAAAGCATTCCAATAACTCTATTTGCAGCCAGCCACTTTGCTTCTTTCAGGAGACAAGCTTAAGTATTTTTTTCACAACAAAAAACACTCCTTTTTTCCCCCCACTGTCTTGCGAAGGTGCTAAATACCCCACTATTCCTGGACACCCAGCTGCCCCTCTCATTTCTCTATACCCTATATAGAGTTCAGGCAGGTCTACACTTAAAATGCTACAGCAGCGTTGCTGCACTACAGTAGCACTTCAGTGAAGACGTTACTTGTGCTGATGGCAGAGCTTCTCCCATTGGCATAGTTAATCCACCTCCATGAGAGGCGGTAGCTATGTTGATGGGAAACGCTCTCCCACTGACATAGGACTGTTTACCCTGGGGGATAGGTTGGTATAACTGTATCGTTCAGGGATGTGGATTTTTCACACTCCTGAGTGATGTCGTTATACTGAACTAACTTTATAGAGTAGACCTGCCCTTCCTGATTCACCATATTTCCTGTCTCCCTAGAGACGAGCATGACAGCCATGTAGGTGAAGGGTCTTGGGGAGACTCATAACAGTTTTAAGCAGTTCAATTCAAGAGAACAGCACTTTCTTGTCTGCTAATTGGTTATCACTGTCTACAACCAGAGATACTTGCATTTTGGTGGTGCTCAAAATGCAGTTTGCAAAGCACTTTTTGGGGATCCCTTTGAGAGGAAAGAGTACAGTATAAATGACCAAAAAAAGTTGTTTATTACCCAAAACACTATCACTGGGAAGAATAGAGCTCTGTGGTTTCAGCATCTTTTGTCCTCCTGATACTCCATCTGCAAAGGAAATCATCCCTCTTTGCAGTCACTCAAACGATTCACTCTCAGTGTGAGGAAACGAGAGAAGATTCTTTTGATTTGAGACATCAGAGAGGGGTGAGGCTCTGAGTCAGTTTATAAAACAGCTGCTCTGCTGCTTCTGCTACTTTAAAATCTATAAATATGCTTCAAGAATTGCTGCCAGCTGTTGGACATGGTATTCAGATGTCATTGGTCGCGTTGGACTTGTGTGTAACAGACACCGCAATGGAATCCTGTGCCAGTTTACCTCAGGTAAAAAAAGTTCTCTCAACCGGTTGGTTGCTTTAAGATTGCTTGGAATTCCAAGCCATTACGGTGTGTACAGCACAAAAGCAGTTGCTGGCTGTTCTGCTTGGTCATTAATTTTTATTATATTAATTGTTATGTGTGGCTTTTATCATCTGGGGAGAAGGTCCTTGCCTTAGGGCACTTCTAGTCTTAATGAGAAATGACAACAGGCCAGAAGCGGAGGAAGGAGAGGGGGAAGCACTTTGGGGAGAGAGTGTCACTTAAAAAATGATCAGATCACATGGGGCTTTTTGTGTGGTTCATGTTTTTCTTGTTTTAAATTGTTATCTTAAAATGTGATCTGATTAGCCCCTAAGGAGGGAAGAGGCAGTGGAGGTTCAGGTGGGAAGCAAGGCGGGTGAGTCTACAGGAGCAGGTTTACTGTTCCTTTTATAGCCACAGCGGAGAGGAGTCTTCACCCTCTGCTGTTTCCTACAAAGGGTATATGATTTTTGTGCCTACATTCGTACCAGTTAAAGTAATTAGGGTGTACTGTACACAATGACATAGTACAAGATGAGCAGTTTCATATTGTAGCTCTCAATTTGGGCTTTTCAGCCTTTGTTATTGCTGTTCTAAATGTATAATTGTGAGTGATACTGCAGGGTGAGAAGTTGCTTTTGAGTATCACCCTTTTCCTCTCTGGCTGCAGAACTCGAGCACTAAGAGTACTCCACTGGGAATGGGAGAAGCCAAGGAGAGGAATCCATGCATGCTGCAGGGGACTGCTGACCACAAGGTACTATACAAGAGAATTTCAAAATCAAACCATGTTAGGGTGGTTTCTGATGGCAGAAGGAAGGGGAGGACAGATTTATTCACTGATCATTTGAATAGCACCATAATGGCTCAGCAAACCCAGCTTAAAAGGAAGGTCCACTGATGGAGGAGGGCCAGAGGCAATTGCCCAGGGGTCCCTAGCCACTACCACTGCCAGCAGTGCAGCAGGACTCAGGCAAGCTTCCTGCCTGCCCTCACTACACGCTACTCAAAGAATCAGCTGGCGTATCCTTCTGGCCCTTGTCTGGGTTTCTCCATGCGCTGCCCTCATCCTGAGTGTGACTTTGCAACCCACATTGGCTGGCAGAGACCCCTTATCGCCCACCTAGCAGCTGCTGCCAGAGGGATGTGCCAATTGCTATCAGAAGCCGCCCAAGGTAAGCACTGCCCCTTCATCCCCTCCTGCACCCTAACTCCCTGCCTCAGTGTACCCTGCATCCCCTCCCACACCCAAAGTCCCTCCTAGAAACCCACACCTCTTGCCCCAGGCCAGAGTCCACACCCTGCCCTCCTTCCTGAGCCCACCTCCTGCACCCAAACACCTTTCCAGAGCCTGACCCATCACCCCTTCCCACACCCCAGCCCTCCGCCCAAAGTTGGTGAAAGTAAACGAGGGTGGGGGAGAGTGAGCAATGGAGGGATGGGAGATGGAGTGGGCAGGGCTGGGCCTCAGAGAAGGGCAAACCAGAGGCATGGCCTCCGTGAAGAGGCAGGGGGTAGGGCAAGGTCTTTGGGTTTATGTGGTTGACAGTTGGCAACCCCATTGAGCTGACATATAGAAGCTCTGGCCATGCCAGAGGAATGTGCCCAACAGCGCAGCCGGCAGCTTGCTGGACACCAGCCAGTGCAGGTGCAGTACCGCCCAAATGTCAGGCGGATCACGTCTGCACAGGCACAGCTTGTCTCTGCATGGAGGCCCTCTGATTGGTCTGCCCTGGGGCCTGGAATTGCTGTCAGCAGGCTTGTTTATGGGTGAAACATGTTGATGTTTAACATGTAAATCGTTCTTTGTTCATATTAAAGTTTTGTAGTTTTGGTGCATGAAAAATTTCTTTTAGTGTCTTTCTGTTACATTAAAAGGGGTTGATTTAAATGGACTTTCTACTGTAAAATGTGTATTATTATAGGCTAGAAGAATTACCCAGGATTGCCCGGGTCCTTCGGGGCAGGGGGTTGGCAGTGTGGGAAGTGCAGGAATCAGGGCAGGGTGGGTGGGAGAGTGAGGATGGAGGTTTGAGGAGGGGCTCAGGGTGTGTGGGGGGGTGTCCCATCTGGCAAAGATTTCTCTCCCCTCCTGGCTAGAAGAGGCCTTCTCATCCTCTGGCCAGCAGAAGCATTTTTCTCCCCCTACATGTCTCTTCACTGGCAGGCTTTCTTCTTTCCCCTCCCTGGTGCTGCAGCCAACAGCTGAGGGGGGGAAGGGTTTGCGGTAGGAGCCCACAGTGGTCATTGTGCAGTATTGCTCTCACCAGCACTCTCTGCCCCCAGTCACCACGCTCAGTATTATGTCCCTCTAAACAGCAGCTTCCTCCCTTTCCATGTCCTGGAAAATTGTCCCATTCCCAGCACTTCCCATTTTCCTGGAACAACCAAATCCTGACCTAGGATAAAAGGAAGCTGCATCCCAAATTTGGTGGTCCTAGTTCTTATCATTTAGGAGGAGTTCTTGAACAAACAGATTCACAGATGGACAGACAGACAGACAGACAGACATTTCTAAAATATATAGACAGATGAAGACAAATTTATTTCTGGTTTGAGGGGTAATTGACATAAGTGGAGCTGGGACAATTTGCACCTTCAGTGAATCTTGTGCAGTGCCTCATTGGTTTTTCAAGTGGTACAAATCCTAGTTTTATGGGTCAACATTACTTCTGGCCTCTGCTAGATAGAAAGTCATCCCAATATAAGGCTTCACAAGGTATGAATTAACATTATATTAAATCCTCCCTACAGGAAATCAGGGTACCAGCTTTATCTAAGACAACAGCTTTTTCCAGTTTTCACCCTGCCTCTAATCTTCTCCTTTGTTGGTGAAGTGTATTGAGAAGGTGATGCTAGTGTCATTCGGAATCTTTGTATTTCAGTTGGTTTCTGGTTTTAGACCTGGGCATGGTACGTAGATCAGACTAGTCTCATGAGTTGGTGATCTCTTCTGAGGAATATATAGTATTCATGTGTCTGTGCTGATTATCCATTTTGCCTTAGGTGCAAATTGGAATAGTTCAAGTGTAGGCACAAGAGTTTGCATCTGCCAAATGTGCCAAAGCAGAGGTTGATGGCTAAAAATCAGGCCTTATAAGTCAATGTGTCAAACACCTCATTGATTTAGTTGAAATGCTACTTAACCATAGAATCATGGAGGGGTAGAGCTGGAAGGGACTTGGAGAGGTCATCTAGTACCAGCCCTTGATAGTCACAGGACAAACCAACCCTGGATATTTATATTTTATGCATGTTAATATTTGATAAGGCCAAATCCTGCATGACTGAAGTGAGTGGGAGTTTTGCCATTGACTTCAGCGGGTGCTGTTTTGAGCTCATAATGCATAAGAAAATAAAAAATGATCCGATTGCTCCCTGTGCATCCACTGTAGAATATACTTCTATTTCGGAGCCTCTGATTGTGGCACTGATAAACAGATTAAAAATGAAATATGTAAATGATAGATTTTGTGTTTGTCATCAATAAAGGGAATATGCTAACACTGCATAACATTTCTCAGAGCATGATGGATTTGAATGCTTTTCTCTTGACTCTCCATGGGTATGTCAACACTACAAAGTTAGTTCGAACTAATGGATGTTAGTTCGAACTAACTTTCATAGGCGCTACACTAGCGCTCCGTTAGTTCGAATTTAATTCGAACTAATGGAGCGCTTAGTTCGAACTAGGTAATCCTCATTTTACGAGGATTAAGCCTAGCTAGAACTAGCTAGTTCGAATTAAGGGCTGTGTAGCCCCTTAATTCGAACTAGTGGGAGGCTAGCCCTCCCCAGCTTTCCCTGGTGACCACTCTGGCCAACACCAGGGAAACTCGTATGCCCCCCTCCCAGCCCCGGACCCCTTAAAGGGGCACGGGCTGGCTACGATGCCCGTGCCAGGTGCA